TGAGGGTGGGGGAGGGTGTTGCCGGCCTTGCCACTTGCATTTGCTCTTGTAAATTAAAAATAGCATTATCTACATAAAGGAAGTATAATGATAGCATGGACATTTTCAATCAGATTTTTTAAAAAGAAAAAGAATACTACTCAAGAATAACCCTTCCTCTCTCCTTTCCTGACCTGCTTGTGGGTACATGAACACCTGATGGTTTTGTCCATGGTTCTTTCTGAATTATTCAGAGAGTGCTTACCTCCCAGGTTATCCATATGAAGACCTACCTCAAGCCATGGGACATTTCCTCTACATTTGTAGCCGGCCCCGCTAACTGTGGTCAGGAAGTAGGTGTCATGCCAGTCCCTGGCACGCAGAATGCATTTTGTCCTTGGGCCTTGACGGAAGCTCTGAGCAAACAGTTGACTTCATCTGTCTATCCACCTGTGACATTAACCCGGAAACAGCTTTTCCCACATTGTTTTCTGTCTTCACAGGTATCGGGCTCCTGAAGTTTTACTAAGATCTTCAGTGTACAGCTCTCCCATTGATGTGTGGGCCGTGGGAAGTATAATGGCCGAGCTCTATACATTTAGACCACTTTTCCCAGGAACAAGTGAGGTTGATGAAATCTTTAAAATTTGCCAAGTTTTAGGGACTCCCAAGAAAGTAAGTACACTAGTCTCGGAGCTGCCATGACCTTTGAGGACCCCTCATTTGCCACCCTGCTTTTTTGTTTTCTGATTCAATTTCTCACTTTAGCAGAGGTGTGCAATATTTTCAGTTTCAAATAGCTTTATAGGTTAATGGCTTTCTTTTTCTTTCTTTCTTTTTTTTTTGGTTAATGGCTTTCTTACAGACATTATTTTTTAATTAGGGAACAATAAGGATTGTAAGAAGTCAGAATCCGCCCCCTCCCCCCCATGCCCAGATTTGAAGGGAGAAAAGGTGTTCACTTTTCCTTAAGAAACGTAAGGAGAGACTCTGCCTAGAGCTTAAGTTTGGGCTGATGTTTGTGACCCAGAGATAGCCTACTAAGACTGCCCTGTTTGTTCTGTAAATACCCACCCATTCACTAACCCCTGGGACCCTAGACCTTATTTTCTCTTAGTCTTTTTTGGGTTTCCATTTCTATCTCTGCTATGATATCAGGTCTACTGAATCCTGAGCACCTCTCCATAGCTATTGCCTGTGGTGTAGACCTTACCCTCTAAGATGCAATTAATAAATAGAACATGTAATTATAGCCTGATGAAGCCAGCACTGGCCTGTCAGTGGATGGGTCAATGTAGATGCTAAGACACAAGCTGATGGTCCTTTCCCAGCTACAAGGGCTTTGATGTTGGGCTTGCTCTGTTGTGTAGGGATCTTCACAGGATGTGGCCTCTTTGTAAAGCTCTGTCCTTATTTGTTCTGTCACCAAGTTGTCTCTGAGACTGAAAGCCAGAAAGAGTTTGATATTCTGAAATGAGTAGATGTACTCTGTCATTTTACCCCTTCTCGGTCCCATGTCATTTCCATATAGTGCAGTCTGGTATTTTATTTGCATATTCATTTATCTGACTCAGCATTGAAGTTGCCACATTAATGGCTTCTATGTCACCCCCGTGTTTTTATACTAATTACAAAAGTCATGTCCTCTTTGTGTGTATCCTTAAACAGAGCGACTGGCCGGAAGGGTACCAGCTTGCATCCTCCATGAATTTCCGCTTTCCCCAGTGCGTTCCTATAAACCTAAAAACTCTCATCCCCAATGCCAGTAGTGAGGCTATTCAGCTTATGATGAACATGTTGAACTGGGATCCAAAGAAACGACCAACTGCAAGCCAGGTGAGGCGGCTCTCCCGGGACAGCTTTCGACATTTGCGAGGGTCTTAAGACATTCGCTTTACATGTATGTGTGTGTTTTCATATATGGATGTACACCACACGTGGACAGTGGCCACAGAGGCCAGAAGTGGGCATTGGATCCCCTGAAACTGGAAATATAGTTGTGAGCTATCATGTAGGGGCTTGCTTGTAGTAGACTTTTTCTTGGACCACCAACCAGCCCTCAAATCATGACACGGAGACTTATTATTAGTTATAAACGCTCAGCTTTATCTTACACTTGTCCCACTAGTTCTTATAATTTATTTCAACCTGTAGCTCATCATCTACATTTTGCCTTGGGGCTTTTTATCTTTCTTTCATGCTCTGTGTCCTACTTGTCCTGCTTCTTCTGTGTCTGGCTGACTGGAGGCTGCCAGGCTGCCTGGCCCCTGGCATCTCCTCTCTCTCTCTCTCTCTCTCTCTCTCTCTCTCTCTCTCTCACACACACACACACGCACGCACGCACACGCACACACACACACGCACACACACACCTAGATTCCTTTACTACTTATTCTCTCTGCCGCCAGGTTCACCTGTCCCTCTACTGCCTAGAGACTGGCCCTTCAGCTGTTTATTAGACCAATCAGGTGCCTTAGGCAGGCAAAGCCAAACAGCAACACATCTTTTCGTAATTAAACACATGCAGCATAAACAAAGGCAACACATCTTTACATGGTTAAATAGTCCACAACATAGACAAATGTAACACACCTTTACATAGTGAAAGTAATATTCCACAAGATAAACAAAAGTAGCACATCTATACATAATTAAAGTAATATGCTACTCCACAACAGAGGCTGGGAACCAAACCCAGGGCTTCCGAAAAAGCAGTTAAGTACTCTTAACCACTGAGCCCCCCAACCTCTAAACTTGTGAAGTTTTGCAATTTTACAAAGGCATCAATTCTCAACCCATGTTTTACCAAGATCAATAAGCACTGAAACCCAAGACACCCACTATATACAACAAAGCAATGGTGGGGCGAGGGTGAGTTTGGAGAGTGTTGCAAATGGAGCCACTGCATGGTGTCATGCCGTCCCAATGAGTTAGAAAGGAGGCCACCACTAACGGTAATCCTGGTGTGACCTTCAAGGTGGGCAGATGCCCGTTCTGAGCAGCACACAGTGGGTGGACTTCTTTAGTTGAGGGGCGGGATTCTTGTTCACAGTGTACATCAAGAAATCGGACTGCGGTAATGGGGTTTAACCTCAAACTCCCACAAGAGGGCAGCATTGTGGTACTTTGTGCCACAAATGCCATGGCTTAATAACAACCCCCCAAAATGATGAATTTTATTATCCTCTTTAAATTTAGTATCAATTCTATGTGAATTTAGCCCCCCACTTAAAAATTAGCTTACGTGTTTTCTAAAGACTAGCAACAAAAACAAAAGAGGAAGATTGATCCGGGCATATCTGGCATAACAGGTAATTTGAGAGAAGTGGCTGGGGTGCAGTTGCCCTGTGAGAGAGTAAAATGACCTGTGACGTAATCACCACAACAATAGTCCTGGCACAGGAAGAAATCACAGGAGATTGTGCATATCTGCTTAAAAACTAAGCCATTATGAAAGCAATAGAAGAGGGGCCAGCGAGAGGGGTTAGCAGGTTAGGGTACTTCTAGGTCAATCCCTAGAAGCCACATGGAGTTATTTATAATTTGGCTAGGAAAAGGGTTCTCAGTGTGTTCACCTTGCCTATAGCTTATTCTAAAAGATGAGACAAAACCCAAGGGACGTGCCCCTGTGGGTTTAGCGGTGTGCTTCAGCTATGGAAGGCAGACCTTCTCCTGGGGCGATTGTCTTCTGGCTTCAGTGCTCTCAGCATTGCCCAAGCCTGTATTTCCTACAGAGATCCTACTCACTTGGCTCTCATTAATGCCGAGTTCGTGGTTAGCGTGTATGAGGCCACAGGTTCAATAACCCAGAACCCCCACCAAGAGAATCCGTGTTAATAATGAGAAGTATGCCCTATATTAAGAATGCACACGATTTAAACTTGGAAACACGCTGATCAGCTAAACCTTGATGGGATGTGACATTTGGCACGATATTTTCTTGCTTTTCCAGGCATTGAAACACCCATATTTTCAAGTCGGCCAGGTACTGGGCCCTTCCGCACACCATCAGGATGCAAAGCAGACTTTAAACAAGCAGCAGCAGCCACTGGAACCAAAGCCATGTATCTCTGAACAGGATCCTAAGTCTTTGCCAAATATACTTGATCAGCCTGCCGGGCCGCCCCAGCCAAAGCAGGATCACCAACCACTGCAGACCATTCAGCCACCACAAAATCCAGCCATCCAGCCATCTTCAAAGCAGCAGGGCCACCAGAAGCCACCACAAACAATATTTCCAAGTATCATCAAAACCATGCCAACGGTGAGTAGCCAGGAAGGGTGCCTGAGATGGCATGGCCTGGAGCAGTTTGGGTAGAGAGTGACCAAAAACAACACAGTAAATCATTCGTGCAATTCTAATTGTGGACTATGTATGGAGATTGTCCCAGGTCGAAGCCCCTGATTTCCTTGCTAAGATTTAGCAAGATATAAGGTAATATTTTAAGATGGTGAGGAGAAATTTCCAAAATAAGAGGGTAACATTTGTATGCTGCCGGCTTCTTTTAAGAATTCACAGATGGAATTGAGCACTCCAGAGCACTGATCCTAAATATTAAAAAAATTTCCAGACAATTTTGAAAGACCCCCCAGACCCCTAAGGGCCTCAGGATCCCAAGGAGCCCCCGAGACTCAGAAACCAGGCCAAGAGCTGCAAAAACAAGAGGGTTTATTGACTGAATGCGCATTCGGGTGTCAGCAATATCTGGAAAGCTGCACACCCCAGCATGGGGTGCAAGCTCCTTATATAGGAAAAAACCGCAGATCAGCATACAGGCAAGGGGCACAAAGTGATTGATTACAAAGTATGATCTCATGTTAGAGTGGTCACCCAGGTGTGACCTGCTTTTCTACAAAGGAAAAACCACAGAACGCACCCTGGAAAGTCCTTCATTGTCTGTTGACCAGCCAAATGGGACCCAAAGAGGGTTGTCTTGGCGATTGCCCCCATCTAAACCATAGGATGTGCCCGGGGTTGGGGCCAACTGCCTTGTAATGGGCCAAGGCCTGTGGGAAACTTTTTCTCTCTGTGAACTAAAATCTTTCAAAACTTTTTCTCTCAGCAAACTAAAATCTTTCAATTTCATACTGTTTTTCACTGGCTGGCCTCGAACTCACAGAGATCCGCCTGCCTCTGTTTCCGAGTGCTGGGATTAAAGGCGTGCGCCACCACCACCCGGCTTAGTCTGGAATGTTTTTAAAAAATATTATTTTAATATAGTTTTTGTTTTTGAGATTGTAATATGATTCCATGATTTTCTCCTTCCCCTCCCTCCCTCCAAACCATTGCGTATGCCCTTCTTAGTCTCTTTTAAAATCATGGCCTCAAAAAAAAAAAAAAAAAAAAAAAAAAAAAAAAAAAAAAAAAAA